AGGATTGTGTCTTTGTGCACTTAAAGGAGGCCATTCAGCTTTAATTTATACTTCTTGGTTGCTATTGAGCCATTTTGACCATCATAAGTTGAAAAATTTGTGATACATCGCGTATACTCAATACATCGCCCAGCCCTGTTCTCAGGGTAGAGTGAAAGACAAGTGATGTCAGTTTTCCTTATGATTTTATTACATTTTTTGTCTATAAAATACCAGCCAATCAGATCTGGGTTTTTTTGGAGTAAAAGCTGACCTTGTAATCATACCTTCACCGTAATTGGCTGGATTATAGAGAAATTGCATTTAGGACACTGCTAAATTGAATGTAGGTACATTTTAATGTATAATTTTTAACTAAATAAAATTTGACAAAAGTTGCCATCTTGGAAATATGGCAATGTTCACTGAGCAATTTTTGTTTGTGCAAATATTGTGGAATGTTGCTCTGTATTTAACAAGTCATAACAGAGCACATTTTAATAGCCAAATAGATCCTGCAATGTCTTTGGAAAGCAAAAATACATATATACTGTACATTGATTTAATGTTATAGTTGCAATTTTTAGTAGAACAATTACCAAAGTAACTGGTTTTGCCATCATGGATGTTGAATTAAAGGTCAGAGGCGTCCCAATTCTATCATTTCTGCATGCTTTGAACGTATATGCACTTGAAACCTTATGTTCACTCCAACTGAGTACACACTTCATAGAGTATAGGGTGTTGTGTGAGTATTGGGACTGGGCCTATAAGTCAATGCATAATTTTGTTAAAGTTATTATCAGAGTTATTAATATTAACTGTTACATCAAGTAAAGTGAAAAAGTAGCACCAGTTATAAAGATGTCATTAAGTGTTATTACACTGTCAACTGCAATAATAAGAAAATACTTTTACTTTGTATCCAAAGTCAATACTTTGAATAAAAGTATTAACTGTTCTTCCTCAGAGGGTTTAACTTCTGGTTCAGCATAGTCTAATTCCGACATATTGATTAAATAGCTAAGTCAGAAATACTTTTTCTTTAACTTAAGAAAATAGGTTGTTTCAAAAGTTTAAACTTTTTTGCTCTGATTGTGTCCGCCATCTCCTTCGTTGTAGCATTCCTGTAATGCTCTAAAAACAGGGAGATTTTCTTGTCTTTGTTTCCAGGAAGCAGCTCTTTGAAGGTGTCTGGAAATGCTCAGAAATGATAGGTGTTCTTGCAATGGTGTTGTGGTCAACGATAATCATGGTGAAAGTCTTGTCATGAATTTAAACTTGGTGAATCTCTTCAAGACATTCTCATAGTGGGTGATGATTACATAATCCACTGTGGTCACTTCAAAGAGAAACAAAAATAAATGAGCAAAAAACAATGCAATTTTTATTCAGCATTTATGTAATAATTACCAATTCAAGAATGTCCCTTGCTGCACACTCTCAGAATTGTTCTAAAGAGCAATACAATCATTTCTTAGTACAAGTAGCATCATGACTAGATCTGAACAAAATTATGCTGATCAAATATTTGTTTGGCAGAAGTTTGTAGAACCTGCCACTGTTATTCAGAATTCTTCATTTCATATATAGTTTTAGGCACTTGAGTGTATCTTTTCATTTGATGAGCATTCAAAATTATTTCCAACCAGATACTCTGCCTTGTGGATGTTTGCAAGAAGTTTGATGTTTGATAACAATTAGTTGTCTAAAACGTAACTTATTAACTCAGCTGGTGAATGTTGATTCCTGCTCCCCTTTCCGCACTTACCTGTCCCCTCCCACCCACTTCACCTGGAGAAAATAGTAACATAAAAATGACTTACCTAATTTTCTTGGGCAATGTTTCATCTGCCTCTCACTCTTTGGTCAAACATGAACTTCTATGTCTTGTGCCTAGTACTCATTAGCACCCTCCACATGCATAGCATGTCTTCAGTAGCAGGCATGTGCAGAGGAGGGGCGAAAAGGGCTTGAGCCCCAGCCCCTTTAATCTCTGATGCCCCTAGTGCCTTTTTTGAGTTTTTTTTCCCGATGTCTTATTATTATTTTTTTGATGTTTTATTTTTTTTTATCTGTATGTCCCTCGGCAATAATATTTAGCTAAATTTAATAATTTAGCACAATAAATCAGTCTGGCTTTCCTCAGTCTTATGACTCTCAGTTTCTCTGCCTTGCAATAACGGGAGGGAGACCAGGTTTATTGGTCGAGTTTAAAATCAGTCACTGGTTATTGGTTATTTGCTGTGATGTATTTGTGAACAAACCCAACTCAAACACAGATTACGCCATATTGTAGCTATGGTAACACAACAATCAAACTATCAAGATGATTCTTTAAACTTTTGCAAAGTAAACTTCCTAATTAAATCCTACATATAATTTTTTTCTCAGCTGAATGTATTGCATAAAATTTAATGACATTGTCGTTCTCTATAAATGATGCTACCTATAGGTTTAGATCTATGGTCTGTGTTACAACTGGACCATTTCTTGGGGCTCCCCCTGAATGGCCCCTACCAGCAGCTTCTGAGTTGTCTTTGCCTTGATATCTCAATCTTACAATTCTAGATCTCAGAGATGCTTACATCAAACATTATATAGAGTTAAACCCCTTTGAGCTTTTGGATCTAAAAATCAGTCTGCAGCCAAGTTGTAGAAGTTAAATAGATATTATTAGGGCTTAATTAGTAAAATGGCAGCAAATTTGCTTATTTTACTTCATAATCTTTGACCTTCTCTCCGATGGTTTAACAGCTACTGTCTCAGATCAACTCAACCCTCCAGGTCTGTCAGCACCAGAAACAGCAACATTGTACCTGTCGGGGAAAATATACTACAATTGCTTTGCATTGTTCCCGCATGATCGGAATGATATCGCAGGATCCAATTAAATTCTTGATTAATATGGCTTTGCTGCTATGTTGTAGGGTGTTTTAAGATCTAGTTCAATGTGTCCTTTTTTAACTTTGAACCCCTGACCCCCAAAGGTCGCTACACGGCCCTATTCAGTAGCATCCTTTGTTCCCGCCCCACTATGTGTCCAGAGGCTAAAATGAGTCTTCATGTGGTTAAAGTTGGGAAACACCATGTCACCTCATGGCGACAGCCCAGCTGTTAAATGAAACACATAAAGGGTAAAAGCTACTACTAAAAAAGTAGCTTTTAATTTGCTAATTAAAATTGGAGGGAAAAAGCTTCAGCTCCATTAACTTACAGCATGGTAGCATTGGCTTGAATTGCTCATAGTATTGGAGAATTGTGAGGCGCAAAACTCTCAAATATATAGATACACAAAACAAACCACACAGACGAGTTCTTACTGCCAGCCACGACGGGTCGGGAGATTTATTTACACATTCTACCACGGATAAAACATTGTTTCTCAAGTTCTCAAAGTCTCAAACAAAATCTTCAGAAAATCTCCAAAAAATCTCAACCGTTCTTTGTCTACAGACATTCTTATAGCTTCCAATGACGTCGGTTTGCGTCAAGATTCTGGCTGCCCATTCACTGAGTGTGTGTTGGAGTTTCCACGAATTTCTTACTGACCTCATCTGAACATCTGCTCCATCTCAGAACTGCAAAACAAGTCAATTAATAATAATTGTTGTTCTTATCTATCTAAACAGCTTACTTTCCAACCCGAGTTTTGTTCCAACATTTTGTACTTTCCAGATAAAATCAGGTCAGATCGACCTTTTTGGCGCCAGAAATCTTTTCCCTCAAAAACAATTCTTTGGAAGTATTTCTGCTCTAACAATAGCTAACCTTACAAAGAAAGATATATAGTCTATGTTTTTTTTTTCTCAAAGAAAATCAGACACATATCTCACATGGAATAGGTGAAACACTTCGGCTTCATTTTAAACAGGTCTGGCCATTATAACTTGTGCTAGATAAGCCAACGCGATGGAAAACGTTTTCTTCACTAATAGATTGCACGCCTGTTGGTGCACTCTCACTGATGGAGATGGCATGATGCACTAAGACATTTTTGTCTTAGTGTCAAGTTTACATAAAAAACATTTAAAACAATCTCAACTTTGGATAGCACTTAATGAGATTGGTATAACTGTTTCTACTGGTTTCACTTTACTTGAGGTAAAAGTTAATTACTGTTATTATGGCATTTCATTGTATAATAACTCTTAATAACATGTTTATAACTGGTGCTACTCATTTCACTTTACTTAAGGTAAGCGTTAATATTAATGACTGGTCTTACAGTATTTGACAGTATAATGACACTTAGTTATTATTGGTTCTACTTGTTTGACTTTATTTCAGGTAAGAGGAAATATTAATGAATATGTTATCAAAGCTTTTGACAGTGTAATAACGCTTAATGAGGTCTGTAACTAGTCCAATCTGTAAGATAATACATTAATGACATAATTACTTGTTATTGTCACAGTTAAGACTCATAACAAATCATGTTTTGTATCTTTGTGTAGTGATATACAGAGATGCATAACATTTAAAATTGATAACTGTAATGACATATTTATGACAGATGATGATTGTTGTTCAATGTCAAGTTGTCATAACGAGAACTTATTCTTCTTATGACAATTTGACATAAGTTGTCATAAGTATATTGTCATGACAAAGATATGACATATCTGTTATGTCAATTTTTCATAACAGATATTTTTTATCATGTTTAATATTTACTGACTGACAGTTAAAGACAGTCATAAATATTCACAAAGACTTCTTCATATTTACGACAAGTGTTACATCATATTCATGACTGTCTTGTCAGTCTTATGGATAAGATAAAGTGTTACAGAATAATGTATACTTGCCTGGGTTCTGAAGGCAACATGTGCAGTAATGGCTGCTAACAATGTTACGTGGACTGATAATCCCTTTATTCAGGGTTTTTGCTTATCCTGCTTTCTGAAATGGGGCCCTGGTAGTTTCTTGCCATATGTTCTCATCCGTTCTGATCCTCGAATATACTAGAAGTTCAAGAATGAGCAGATAACCATGTGAGCCTGTTCCTTGTCCTCCAGGAAATGGAGTTTAATTCCAAGAAAGCCCTTCAACAGACTCTGCTGAAATCCAAAAGGACCAAGACTTTGATCAATGCCAGAGCAATTGAAGGTAACTTACACACATAGGGTTTATCAGAGTCCCTATTGTCCTCATTCTTGCTGCTTGGGTAAAGCTGAAACTAAAGGATTGAGAATTCAGATGTTTGCTTCTCTTGCTGTCTGCAGTGGTGAATGTTTCTCCCTCTCAACACCTCTTCAACTCTCTGGTGAGCGTCAGTGTGGAGGAGGATGAGTTGCTAAGCCAGGTGCTGCAGGCCAAGCTCATTTTAGCCCCACTGCCTTCCCATCATTACAAGTCAGCAGAGAGCCCCTCTCTCAACTTTTTTATCACCTCTGAACTGTTCAGAAAGAAACCTCTCCAACAAGAAGAGGAGCCAGCCAAGTGTAAACCTTCCCCAATGGCAAGCCCGGCACACTCTACCTTTGACCTCTACAGGAGACAGAGATGCTGGGAGGCCATACCCTGACATACACATTAGAGATTTTCATCTATGAATGTAACCTATATCTATTCTTTATGTTGTATCACAAAGGGTTTGGCTTTATATTCACTCATGCATTTAGCCTCAAGGGCAACCACGTTTGATGCTGTATTTATTTCTAATATTCTATGTTGAAGGCTTTAAAATTAGTTTTTGGATTTCTCTGTGGGAAAAAGTCATCATTTAACCAATTGTGGTGCTTGTAAATTATTTTTCTGAGATCTATTTAATTGTTTTATTTTCAGATAAACAAGGTTCTGAAGGTCTTTTTTCCACTGCAGCTCACAATCAGGGGTTTCTGTCAAATTAACAGCTCAATCAACTGTCCACTCTCACTACTTGCTCATCCAAGTAGTGACAGGAGGGATTGCTGTAAGTGGACATCATTAGTGGATCTGAAGTGAGGGGAGACTCGCAGCTGACCTCTTGCAGTAGAGCTTTTCTCCCCAGCTGGCCTTTATGGCCTTAAAATTATGTTAGCAAAAACTAATCGCTAAGCTTCCAGTTAATTAACTAACTAATCAAAGTTAGTTAGTCGTTCTTAAAAAACCTTATGGTCCTGTGATCAAACACAGTCTGCCTCACGTGCTGCGCTCACAGGCAAGTTGACGAGCTAAACTATCAGCAGTTTCTGATACCCCAATCTTTCTCATGTTAATGTTTAACACACAAAGTTGAAAGTCACCCTCAGGAGATATTTGCAAATATCTACTGAATATAAAATACACTGCTCCAAAAAATAAAGGGAACACTCAAACAACACAATATAACTGCAAGTAAATCAAACTTCTGTGAAATCAAACTGTCCACTTAGGAAGCAACACTGATTGACAATCAATATCACCTGCTGTTGTGCAAATGGAATAGACAACAGGTGGAAATTATTTTCATATTTATTTCATTCATTCGGATCTAGGATGTGTTATAAAATGTCATCTGACGGTGGCATGGTCCATTAATTGCTTGCTGATAATGAATTAACTGGATAAATATGTGAAGGCTCTTAAAAATGACCCTGGACTATAAATCAAGGAACAATAAGTTTAATACAAAATTGTTCATGTGAGGATCTTAGGTTGTTTTGATTCTAGTTTCATTATGATTTTGTGTTAGTTTCTTATTTTGGATAGATCAGTCTTTAGGTCTGTCGTTTCTTAGTTATTCTAAATTATTAGGGTTCAGAGCCCACAGAAGCAAGTGGAAGGCCAATGCAGGGCATGGCTGTTAGTCTGCTCCCAGATGAGCAGGAAATCCTTTTGTTTTTACTCTTGTTTTTTTATTATCCTTATATGTTCTACTCTTCTGAAACTCATACTGCAGCCTATCCCCCCCAATTTCTTACAACTTTTATTTGGTATCCAGCTTCAGGACGCACACCATTACTCAGCTACACATATTCAAGCATGTACACCTGTAGGTATTGCACTGGCAGAAAATACGGTTCTATGCTTATAACTCGAAATTGGCATGTCTCATTAACAAAATTGATAGGGGTAAAGTTTCCTAGAAAGGTTCTCCAACTGATGAGCCACTGTACAACAAAATTTTGGTGGATTTTTTTTCAGCAGAGAAGCATAAACAATACATTAGCCAAAACCAATCTCACCCCTAAGATGAGCCCAATAAAACTTGTCACAATAAAAGCTAAAGAAGAAACAAACAAAAAAAAAATAACATAATTGGGTAAAAGACATTGCTGCAAATTTTAATTGCCCATAATTTTGGAACGGTAAAAAAATTCTATTTCCTTCGTACCACCAACTACAAACACATTATCGATCATGTCTAACTACTGTAGTTTTCGTCAATGTCCACCACTCGATGGCACTGCAAAATTGTGAAATTTTCTATGCAAAATCTGCATAGATGTTCTATAAATTTTGCACATATCTCCATGCCCTTGGCCTTAGGTTGTATATTGAATATGGTCATTGTTGGTAGAAGGTTGGGTTTCACAAAAATGTGAAAATAATCTCCAAACTTTTAAAATATTCTGAAGAAAATCACACATCCATCCAAATGAGCTCAAATTTTCAGGATGCGTTCTCTGAATTGTTCTGAACATTTCACCCACTCTACTCAAATAATTCATTCATAAAATCAAATGTACAAGCGTGGACCTAAGAGGAGACGCAAGCAACACAGACGCTGGCGTGGCAGTTGTGTTTGACTTCCACATAAAAATCTATCTATTACAATCTTTTGCCAATCCTAACTAGACTGGTCACACTAGTGGAACACATCAGCCTCAAAGTTTGGTAAGAATCAGAGCTTCTTTGCTTGATAACAAATTAAACTTTCACACTAAGTGTTCATGTTGAATGTTTTTTCCATTTAAACTTCAACAGAACAACACTGTAACATAAAGGAGAAGCAAGTTTCATTGTTCATGTAATTCTGTGATTTTTAGTACAAACTGGCACAGTGTGTGCCACTGTGTGGAATTATTTTTCTTTGGTAAACTCCAGGTCAGGTTAAGAGTTTAAAACCCACCGCGTTAGCTCTGGTTGCGCAGCTCTATGTAAACCTCAGCAATAACTTCTCATTGCGCTTTCAGAGGTGCACGTCAAGCAAGCAGTGAGAACAATTTATCTGTGAACAAAGGCTGTGTGGAAATCTGAAGAACATGTCCCACAAACTTGTGATGGTTATTAAAATGTGTGTGTCTCAACAAACACAGAATGGAAGAGTTACTGAAGCCACATTAGTAGCATTAAATTAAACCTTCCGTCACTCTAAGGCTTATGAGGCCTTGAGCAAAATTTGACTTAGGGGCCCCCTATGGCTGTTAAAAACCTCTAACAGTTTCTATGTTAGATTTGGTGAAATCTGGGGGAGAAGCTTAATGGACTATAAGCCGCGAGTAACGGTGATGTACTTCCGTTTAACTTTTCGCCACATAGAGTGTTTCTGGGTACCGCTGCTCCTACTGCTTTTAGCCATCTCTGCAAAACCTGTACCATGAACAAGATGCAAAAGTGAAAATATCTTTGAGCAACTGGTACAACAAATGAGTTTTGTTGTGTGCCTTTGTGTCCAATAATTAGCTTGTACAATCCAGTGCTTAGTTTTTTCATTTTCCTGCTGCTATCAAGGCGTCAACAAACCGTGGCCAAAACTTTGCCACTAAAGCTAACATACGGTTTGTAACTGCCTGGTATTTCAAACTTGAGGATATTGAATATCCAGCATCAGAAATGAGAAGAGGGTAGTTAAAAGGGACTTGTACCTGCTTGTTCACTGGAATAATTTGGAGGAAAATAATGCGGGAGGAAATCCACTAAAAGGCTGAGAACAGAGGCAGTGTTTTGGTACAAGGTAAGTCAATATGTGTGTTGATATATGCCTTTGCATACCGAGTATTAAATTATTTTTAGGTAACCCTTTAGTTTAAAAAAAATTATTACAATTATATAAAATACACTTAACATGCAATTGGAGCAGGGAATTTAAGAACAGCTGAGGGAAGCAATGGTTCAGGCTGAAAATGATTAAAATACAGACACAGAAAATAGGCAAATGCTGTGCTGAATCTGCTAGTAGTTTAAATTAATCATTACAGACTTTCTAAAAAATATTCAGATTTTAGCTTTCATTTTCTATATAGTAATATTTCAGTTTACTCTCATTCAGTTACTTCAGTGTTGTTACACCTCAGAAATACTGTTTGCAGTTTCTTTAATTGTGATACAGGAAGTGTTTCACTTAAACATTAAAACATTTATTTCTGTAGCTTTCGGTCAACTTCTATAATTGCTCCTTAGTCGCATATTTTCGGGCTTTCTACTGCTTCTAGTGGTGTGAGGGTGGTAACAACTAATTTAATTACATTACTAAATCAGAGTACCTTAAAGCGGCGGTTTTCAAAGTGTGAGGCGCGCCTCCCCCCAGGGGAGGCGCGCATTGTGCTCCTTGGAGGGGGGGCTCACCCTTTCATACTTTGAAAACCCCTGCCTTAAAGTATTTATTATCTACTATTAATTTCGATATTACTGGGAACATAAAATATTAATTCCCTCACAAAAGATTTTCATTTTCTTTGAGAAGTAGAGCTTATTAAATGAGACAAAACCTGAAAGTGATTCCAGTTTCACTCGATGGCTAGCCTGTTGAAACTGTGACAAATTTTAAAGTTGGACAGTCTGCCCAACTTTGCTGAAAACACTGTCTTTAAGAACTGTTCTCAGAGACTATCTTTTGAGAAGATCTAGTAATCATGGGGTTACCCATCTTGAGGTTGTGTACAACCTCTAGTTAGGTAGAGGTTGAGTTAAAATGTTAAAACTTAAAATCCTAACTTGAACTCAAGTTAAAACAACATTTTAACTCAAGTTTTAACTTTTTGTATCCTCAGCTTGTTTGGTCACATGAGCTGCAGACTAAAAATCTTTTAAGAATACTTTCAATGGCAGGTATAACAGCAGGTAAATAGTGGTGAAACAAAAACAACTGCCTCAACTGTTTGCTGAAAGAACATGGAAGACGGCAAGAAATATTTTAGCAGAGAGCTTCCATCCTCTCATGAAGTGTTCCTCTGTGTTCCTTTGGCAACTAGGAACATTTATTCGAAGTCATTTATTGATGGTGCAATAATTATTCTTAACCAAACTAAATGATAACATTTACCTATAGCTTCCTAAGTGTTTTACTCTACAAATAGTTGATCATGTGATTCTATGAATATGATTTATCTTATTGTTTCAGAGTCAGAACGAAAATCACCACGTTGATAGACTAAATAGTTTCATCTTATTTTTTTCCTATATATAAGACTCTACAAACAAAAGGTCTCAGAATAATATACATGGCACCATAAAAACAAAAATGTGAAGTTTTGTATCTGTTTAACAACTTGGGTTGTAACGACCTGGGTTGTTATTCTTCTGTACCTATTTTATTTGTTTGTTATTGACTTTTTTTTGTTTTTTCCAGGAATTAGCCGAAATTATTTTTGTATTGTACGTGATTCAGAGAATGTATAATTCAAAAGTAATCAAGTATAAAAATAAAGAAGATTATCTTAGGACACTGCAGGGGACCAACCACAACTATAACTTACCCCCGCCACCCATTATATCCATGTTTTCTATATATTCAATAAAAGGACCCCAAATATTTTGAAATAGCAAAAGTTTCCCTTTTAGAATAAAAGTAATCTTTTCCATTGGTAAGGGTGTGGATATTTCATGAATCCAATTAATACATTTTGGTTTACTGGTATTCTTTTGAGAGTGCTATAACTCTTTTTGTAAGTCGTAAACATAAA